ATATATATGTATCATATATTTTTATTATATTTCTTTAAATAATTAACATCTAAATAAAATAGTATTATTCAGTATTTAGACAGTTTACACACTACATCTTTGATTTTTTTTTTCAGGTACATGATAAAACAGAACTTAGAAAGTGATGGAATTTCTGAAGCCATCATCTCAATCCCAGTCAACATCAGTGGTGTGGCCTTCCATAATTACAAATTTCCACCTTGGTCACTTATTTGACACCCATTCCTTATCTACAATTGTTTATTATTATGATTTATAATTCGAAATTCCAAGCAAACAGAATCATTTTTTGTTATAATTTAAGTGTTCAAGATGATTTTCTTATGATCTATTGTGTGTCTAAATGTAGTGTCTCTGGTAAACAGAATAGTTTTTTGTTATAATTTAATTGATCAAATATTTTTTATTATGATCTATTTTTTGTCTAAATGTAGTGTCTCTGTGTATTTTATACATCACCAAATTTTTCTGTAATTTGTGTACTTAAAGTGGGTTTTGTTGAATAAGTGCAAGGCTTATTAAAGCATGTCAAAATACTCATGTAATTGTATGCAGAAGTAGCGTAAGTCTGATAAATACTTGTTTGGGCAAAGAAAGTTTGACCTGGATTTTGACATACAGATTTAAGTCGACAACAGTGAGCTAGCTAGGTAGTTTCGATTTAAGACGACGTATAACGTCATGTTAATTTAACCGCATGTCTGAAGGTTGTGCGTTTCGTTCTCTCCTGAAATCTTGAACAGTTGGCAGCTGAAACTACGATATTTTTGTTGTAGTTTACTACCTTGTTTTCCCATTCCTGAACTCAATTTCTGTGAAAGGGCGTGCCAAAGATTAAGTACTAGAGCGTAGTTTTAAATTACATGCATAATAATAATGTTAGTGTTATAGAGCACTTAATACATAAGAATACTTCTAAGCACTTTACATAAAAGGAACTCAAGAAATGGAATGAAACCATAAAATACCCAAACAGTAACCAAAAATGAAGAAGAAACGTAGAGGAACCATTTTCCAGCACTTAGAAACTCCCATAATCTAGAGCTCGTCTGAGCAGAACTCACAGGAGCTCGAGTGAAAATGGGGTCAGTCTATCCTATCCTAAGAACAAAAATGTAGAGTGAATTTTGAGCGAAAAGATGTTAATCAGATTCAATCAGAGTTTAATAATTTTTTTTGTTGAAATTTTTTCATATGAATTGTTCATTTAGATGAGGTATGACTGTGCCAATATGCAATACAGTACTACAGTACTTATTCTTCTTCCTACACTATTTTTGGGTCTCTGTCTCCAAGATTCCCTGCTGAGTCACAACATTTGTTTATTTGCTTTCTTCATGACTTCTTAAATCACTCATGAACATGATTACTTTTTTATTACACCATAGTTGATTAAATTTTAAGCTAAGGAATTTCTGTTGTAAAGCTCTGTCCAGATTATCAAATGTACTTTGATAAAAAAAAAACTGTTGTATGCCCATATATAGTCATGATGTGCCTATATATGGTCATGATGTGATGTCATCATGACCATATTTAGGCATGTCACATGTGTTTGTTAAATAAAATGTGATAGTCTGGATAGGGCTTAAGGTTCACTGAATCTGGCATACAGCATCAAATATTTTTGTCAGACTTAAACAGATAATGTTTGATGAAATATTGTCTGATATGATTATCTGATCAAACTAATCATGCGCCTTTCATAGAGCTGAGTGTTTGGCCAAGAGTTTATATTCCCGCGTCTTGCTCTGAAGACCCTGGTTGAAGCCTGTCAGATGTGAAGTTTTAATTGGAGTCTGATCATTCGTCTCCTCGAATAACCCTGACATAGAAGGTCAGCGATATAAGGGATAATGCATCTGTTACATGTCGGTACATGTAACAGAGATCCAAACAAGAATTTAATTAAATTAAAATAGGACAAATTACTAAAAGAAAGAAAGTTTATATCGGAAGTTGGTCAATGCTCTACTTTGACGAAATTTGATTAGACATCATCAGACTGTCCAAGATTGTAAACTTTGTTATTAAGATTAAATTTTTTGTTTGTAATTATTTCATATGAATTATTCATTTGAGATGAAGCAATAAAAATGTATTCAGTCTTTCCAGTTCTAAGTACTATCAACTTAATAATATATGTAAAGTTTTCAAGAAGAAATAAATATGTATTTTGAACAAAAAAGTTGTCTTTTTATTTGTCAGGGGGAAAAGAAAATTTTAATTATTAAGTCGGGCACTCACTGCGTCGTATGACCGCCGCACGACGAATCTACCTCTGCTTCCGGAGAGCGATAGACGACGTAACGCCATCTGCTGATTTGTCAGTGGCAGTCTGAACGGATCCTCATTAAAAAAGCGATTTATTGGTTCCGCGCCGTCGCGTGCGTTCGTCGTCGCGTTGCCGTCGCGCCCAGTGAGTACCCGGCTTTAGACAATGTCAAAAAATATTGTGACAATGAATCAACTAATATTTTGCACACATATTTTATTTGAATATTTGCGTGCAACGTATTATTATGTCCATGCATAAATCGTCATTTGTGCATTCCAATAGTGTGCATGTAGTTAAGTTCCAATTAAGCCTTGCCAATGTATAGGCCTAAATAAAGCATAATATCAAACATCATTTAATCAATCACTGGCCCACCCCTACCTCGGCGCTTTGTCTAATAGTTAGGCTTGATAATACCAATATGAATTATAAACCAAATTGATTTATTGTTTTGATAAAGTGCCACTTCAATACCACGAAATTATGTTGCTCTCAAACAGAATAATATATAAGGCCAATTTAAATTAAATGACCATCGTTCTTTGTCAAATCGATGATTTCTATAGGCTTTTATCATCCGAATATCTGTACATTGATCGATTTAAACATTTTATGTATAATGTTTTTTCATGTATTTGATACATGTAATAGACTTACGGGTTAAACCATGTATTTAATTATTTATTGAGGGCGCAGGCAGATTCTAGGGAGGGAGGATTTGGATGCCTACCGGGGCCCCGTAATTTTTGATAATTAAAAGAAAATGTTATTGTAAAAAGGGTTGACTAGACTATTGGGTAGTGCTGAGAGGGCCCCCGTGGCGTCTCCGGGCTCATTTTGGACTTGCAACTGGTCGTTTTCCCCATAAAGCACACAGCAGTGGCGGCACCAGGACTTTCCTGACAGGGGGTCCAAGGTCCCCGACGGCCCAAGTCCCCCAAAAATATGACAATTTAGGGATTTTCTCCTCGACGAGGGGCTGTAGCCATGCCTAAAGTGCTACGGTAAGTAGTAGTGTAGGAGAGCCCCGGAGTCCCACCGGCTTCTTTTGAGTGGGGATCCGGGGCTGCGCACCCGAGAGCTCACGAGCATTACGCCACTGGCCTATCAAGGCCATAATTTTTCATAGTCACAGTGTACTTAGTGGTGGCTATTATCTGGGGAAGGTGGTAGAATTTTGTCTGGTAGGGTTGTGATAATTTGGTTTTAGAGGGCAAAAAACTGGAGAAAGTTGAGCCTTTTTTTTTTCTGACACGTTTTATAAATCTATTATGCTCTTTTAATTTTAATAGAATTCTTCAAGTTTCTGGTCCAACGATTTGTGTTTGTTATTTTATGTTTTGAGACGAATAAATTAAATTAAACAAGTTGTGGTAAACGGTGATGGGGGTAGGCTGGTGGTGCTTGGCCTGTCTGATGGAAAGGCGTAACCGGAATGAGGAATAACTTCTTGGCGTAGGTGATTGTATCATTGAAGCAGGTGTCATTTTTATAGTACGGTAGTATGAGATGTGACAAATACATACGTTTGTCCATAGGCCTATTATGGGCACCATAATGACGGCATCCATGTATAATAGATACGATATCATCAATTAATATTTTTGATCTTATTTTTCCTCTCTTGCATTGAGTTTAAAATTACACTGAAACACTTTTAACCCCAAATAATAAAAATAAAGCTAAGTTGGCGTCTCTCCACCTGCTACATTATCCCCATCAGTGGCGAATTCAATGGGCCCAGACGGCCTGCCTTCAACTCCCCCCCCCCCCCCCCCCCCCCAAATAAAGCACGAATCGATTGCAGTAGCCGAGACTGTGAGTCTAAATGTGACTTTGTTGCCTGCTCCGGAAACGAAAAATTTCGTGTCCCGTATCATACGTTGTGATAGTGAATAGTTTTTGTAATTATGGGAGCTGATTAGTTTACAGTAATTGATAATTTTGTCGTTAAGAAGTTTTAGCACGTTTATCCGAACAACGTATCTAATTAATACAGACACACTCGTATCTTGTATATGTTGGGGTTGGGGTGCTCGAGTCGATTCCTCTATTTTTCTGATTTGGTCATTTTACCATACAAGCATTCTTCGCGCCGCTGCTCATTTTGTTTGAAATCATGACGAAAAGTAAATTTGGTTCACGGTCAAGAATTTTACGTAGGGTGTAATTTTACTTTCTATTCTGTCTCTACATTGATGGGTTAGGCCTACTTGATGAACTCTCACAAAGTGGGGTAGGATGCTAATGTTTATGCAAGTGCATTTGCTTATGCTGATGATATCACGCTGCTATGTCCAAGTGTTGTCGGACTGCAACAAATGAGGCATCAAAAAGTCAAACGATAGTGTTTAAATATAATAATGCAAATGTACCTAACATAAACATCACCATTGATGGCGCAATTGTCCAAACGGTTGACAAAATAGTTCACCTTGGGCACTCGCTTTCTGATAATATTTATGATTTTAATGGCATTAAGAGTATTCATGATTTGTAATATGTTTCTGGCAAGTTTTAGGTGTTAACTCTGAAATTCAGAGTGTACTCTTTCGAAATTATTGTACCAGCTTTTATGGATTTCCAATTTTAAACTGTTTGATGATAAAATCTAGGATACCTATAAGGCATGAAGGGTAGCTATTCGAAGAGTGTGGCGATTTCCTAGGCAAACACATTGTGCCTTATTCCATCATATTGCTGGCTGTATGACATCACATTAATACTAGCTATGCGCTGTATTATTTTCATTAACAAGGCTCTCTAATTGCACCAATTCGAAAGTTCAACATATAACTAAAATGGGTCTGTTTGGATCGTATTTATTTATGGGGGGAAACTTTAGAACGTTGACATCTTGTTTCAACATGAATACCAATTTGGTATTACTGATAGCTAAAATAAAATAATTAATGAAAATGAGAAAATTTTTAAAACTGCTGAGCAAATAAAAGAACTACCGTACTTAACATGAGGCATAACTTGAGGCATAACTTTCCAGCTTTAAATATCTCTCAGTGCAGTTACGGTATATAATTGAATTTCTGTTTACCAGTTAGTTTTATTTGTTGCTAATTTATATTTCTCGTATTTTGATGTTGTATTGCTCTGACTGGTGGGGGTTCCAAGAAAATTATCTGGGGGAAAATTCTCCCTGCCCCCGCTGGCGGCGCCACTGGTCATAATTTGATAATAGACCTCTACAGGCCTGTAACCACCTTGAGTAACGAGGAGGATCAATTTAAAATCTGAACAGAAATTCTGGGGGTGGGTGATCAGTTGATCACACTAAGCGGGCCGGAAAAAATGTGTCCCAAAAATAAGTGGTTATTGCGGCCGATGCGTACGGTAGGCCTAACCGACGGCCCTGATCATTATCAACATGAACAACTCACGTCTATTGATGATACCAGCCAATGTAACCAATAGTGATTGACTGTGTGGCTTGGGCTAGGAGCTGTCTCTTATACACATCTTATCGTGTCGTCTGAAATTTCCGAATAAAGAAGGCTGAACTGAACTACCCGTTACTCTGCTTTGAAAATAGTATTCAACATTACCAATAAGCGGAAGCTCGCTCGGTTTGATACCTGGCTGGTTACCTTATGGTATGGTAACGAATTGATCATTCAGTACGATAACACGTAAAGCCACATTTACACTAGACACGATTACGACACGACAACGACATACCATCGCGTAGTTTTTCAACACTGCGCGCATCTGTATCGTGTCGTCGCCGTAATCTTGTCTAGTGTAAATGAGGCTTTAGAGGTAGAACATTATCATTCCTAATTTCCAAATGCAAAAACATTCAAAAAGTAGATGTTATTCATCGTTTACAGGAATTACCGATCAGCCTTTTTAATTCTAAACTTTCCCAACTACTTGAAACCATTAATAATGAAAATAGAACTGCATACATCATTCTGGGACGATTTTAACATTGACCTCCTAAAGTCTAACTTGCATGAAAAAAAAAACATCAGAATTTATTTCTGTAGTACATGTTTGATTCATTCTATCCTTTAGTTAGCAGACTCACTAGACTAACGACTAAAACTGCAACTTTAACTTAAAACTTTTGTGTTAATTATGGGATTCATTATTTAAAAAGGATGTCGGGGTACCCTTTCGGGGTTACTAACCCCTGTCAGATGTACCATCTCCCTGTCGGAGAAGAGCTGGCGCACCACAGCCCATACGATCGCAATAGGGGCCTAGTATACCTCGCACATATGGTAGCACTGTCAGTTTTGAATCTCTAAAATGTTGAAAGCTTAGTAAGGCATGCTTGAATTGTACTTTCGGCGCTCGAGATTTTTTTTTCCCCCCCGACGAAGTTACCGGAAATTAGTGGGGCCCAAGCGGATAGTCCAAAGGTTCCCGACCTTACGGGGGTCCTTTTCCCTCTGGACCCCCGCTAGCGCCGCCCCTGTATATAAGCCATAGGCAAAATGTTAGCGCCATCGGACGTTGGCAGATTAATAGAACGGTAGTTTTGATTACTAACAGTTCACCCTCCAATTCGAGTCCACCTTTGGTACTTGAACATTTGTGGTCTCGTGGTTCGGTCTCCAATTAGATGGCTTTGTGTTAAAAGATTGGCGATTGATATTTGGTAAAAAAAAATGTGGTCACGAATTAGAGGGCTCTCGGTATTAAAGGGGTCTCGAATTAATGTGCTGTATTCTGAGTGACAAATTCGAATACTGCTGTAAGAGTGTTGTTGTGCCTAATGTTGTTCTGCCTAATGTATGATTGAAGATCAAAGTCGCTCCGTGTCAAGGGCAATGGAGAGTCTATCCGCTCCGCAGTTTGTTCGTACAGAAAGAACTGGTAGCGATGAGGCCCTGTCCCTTTTGGCGGGGACGGTCTTTTGTAACCTGAAAGAAAAACAAACATTAATCTAACATTTTTCTTTTAGTTTTTCTGTATACAATTTAACAAATATATAAAATATTCTCTTCAATATTAATCCTCCCGTGCGTTTGTATTGCGATCCATCTGACTGTATTGGCTCGGCCTAATAATATTTGAGACTCGCACCAAAATCCATAATTAGCAGGTACCGTGAGTTCTAATATAATTCTGGATAACTGAAGGCTATACGTAACTCATATAGCGGTTTCTTACACGTACCAACCACAGTTTCTCCGCTGATGAGTCCTTCAGATGCAGTAGTATGCCTAAGTGTTTCTCCCTGCAGGATTAAGTAATTTAGTTAAGTTAATGCTTCAGTTATAATAAAGTAAGATAAAATGAAAACTCGTCATGTTTAGTGGCGGCACCAGCGTCTGAAAGGGTGTGTGTGGGGGGGGGGGGGGGGGGAGGGGAGGGGAAAGGTAAAATTTTAGGGGGGAAATATGCTGAGGTGGCCCGAAGTTGGTGTGGTCGTTAAAAATGTCTTGAAAGTGGTCCAGGTCCCGAGGCCTCCGAAAAATATGACAATTTAGGGGTTTCAGACGCTTATTCAATCGATTTCACAGATAGGCCTAGCCTAGATAATCTACTAATCATTTTTTTTTTCTTCCGACGAAGATAATCTACTAATCATTTTTTTTTTCTTCCGACGAATTGTGGCTTTACTGTGGAGAAAACTGGGGTGGGGGTTCCAAGAAAATTATCTGGGGGAAAATTCCCCCTGCCCCCGCTGGCGGCGCCACTGGTCATAATTTGATAATAGACCTCTACAGGCCTGTAACCACCTTGAGTAACGAGGAGGATCAATTTAAAATCTGAACAGAAATTCTGGGGGTGGGTGATCAGTTGATCACACTAAGCGGGCCGGAAAAAATGTGTCCCAAAAATAAGTGGTTATTGCGGCCGATGCGTACGGTAGGCCTAACCGACGGCCCTGATCATTATCAACATGAACAACTCACGTCTATTGATGATACCAGCCAATGTAACCAATAGTGATTGACTGTGTGGCTTGGGCTAGGAGCGTCTGGATCAACCATTATCAAAGTATAGTAACCGTCCTTATTCTTCAACAAAATAAAATGAATTATAAAACTCATGCCATCACTATAAAATCTTTAATTCAACTCAAAATGTAATCGTCATTATTATTATTAACATTTTAATCGACATTCTGTTTTTATGATCATGAATTATAATAATCTAATTGAATATTATTAACATATTTGTCTAGAAAGCTGGCAACATTTATCATTAATTATCATAATCATCATTTTCATTATTATGTTTATCGCTGCCAATCGTCATTAAAGTACAGCATTTAAAAATTAAATGTAGATTGTCATCGCAAGGTGTACGTTAGCAGGGTAATGGCAAATCCGCTAATTATATTGTAATAGTATGTTATTCCTATGTACGCTAATAATAATAATAATAATAATAATAATAATAATAATAATAATAATAATAATAATAATAATAATAATAATAATGATAATATTCATACAGTAGGCCTAGGCCTAATTAATATGATTAGGTTGTAATTTATCTATTATAAAACTCACTGCATTTGTGTACAATATTTCCGGAGCTGCATGTCCTATGCGTAAAAGCTCAACATGTTCACCACAATTCAAGTTTCTTTCCTCTCCATCCAGTGGCGTAGAAAAATATTTTTCATTGGGGGGGATGATTGGCGTGTTAGCCAGTGTCGTAACAGGCGCGGGGGGGGGGCAAAACTGCCCCTCCCCTAACGGTTTTTACCGGGCCGACCAAGTCGTCGTACCGGGCTGGGTAATAAGAGAAAAGAAAGAAGGGAGAGGGAGGGAAAGAGAAAGAAGAGGAAAAGAAAAGGAAAGAAAAAGAGAAGAGAAAAATAAAGACAAGAATAAAAAGAAAGATACCATAATGACCAGACTCACAACACCCATGCAACCCCTTCTCCACTTCAAAAACTGTCATAAATCCTTTGATCTATGCAGCCCGATAGCGTAACCACTGGGGGACAAGGAGAAAATATCTATCTTTGAAAAATCTTCCCCACCCCCCCCCCTTTTATAAATGCCCTTTCATCCCCTGAAAGTGCCTAAAAACCTCAAATTTCGCGCGCATTTCTTGTTAACATGTCCCAATTTCCTCTAAAAATTGCACATTTTAGGGAGTTTTGATCAATTACAACGAAATTAGAATTAAAAACACCGGGGGACAAGGGGAAAATATCCATCTTTGGAAATCTTTTTCCACTCCTTGACAAATGCATCCTCAGAAAGTGCCTAAAATTCTCAAATTCTTTGCGCGCA